AAGGCATTGAACAGCAACGGTGATAGATTAATGTACCTGAATATTCAAGGCATAAAGTCACATAAAACGGAACCAACATGGATAGTAAATCAATATAAGCCAGTCGTTGTATGCCTCTCGGAGACACAGGTGACCAAAGACTTTTTACAAAGTGAAATAAGTATAAGTGGATATAATGCAATTTATAGCACATCAGAGAGTACCCATACAGGGGGTGCTTTAGTGTACATTAAGAAAGGTTACAAGTACAGGGAAATTCTAAAGATTGATGATAACATGAACATGTGGATAATTGGAATTGAAACTGTGATCAAGAAACAAAAGTATTATTCCTACAGTCTATATCACTCACCAACAAGTAATGCAGAACTTTTGGAGAAATTTGATGATATATTAGATAACATAAGCGTTGATGGTACATTTCTAATGATTGGTGACTTTAATATAGAACAACCACGGTCTGTACCAACTGATTGATAAACCTACTTGCAACCATAATAGACCTCTTAATTACAAACAAAAAACACCTTCAATATGAGATCCGCCTGACTCTAAAGATATGACCATCCGATAATAACCGCTAAGTTTCATATCGAACACAAAGACATGTATGAAGCCAAAACGTTTAGAGATTATAAAGACATGAATACATTAAGGTTTCCAGCCTAAACTTATGGATATGAAATGGCCAGTAAACACTTTCAATATAGACATCTCAGCTGATAATCTAACACATAATTTAATATCAACACTATGAATTCGAAACAGAAGATAATAAAAGTTGAATCGGGAGACAAAATGTGGTGGAATGAAGAAATAGATGATGGAATCAAAGAGATCGACTGTATATATAACGAATAAGATAGCAAAAAAAACCAATGTGCTAGCGCAAGTATCAAAAGAGCTAAGTGTGTGGGCAAGATTAACCACATACAAGACATTATAGCGAAACCAAGCAAACGATTTCCAAAAAATCACAAAGCTTGTAACTTTCCCAATAACACCTCATAATTTACTTTATCAAAAGCCTTGCTGAAATCAGTGTATATGGAGTCGATCTGTCGTCTGGCTTCCACTGACAGTATAGAGTCTGTTCATATATCAGTAAGTTTGTAACTGTTGATCTGCCCTTGATAAACCCATGCTGATGTTCTACTAGAACTCCCTGAAGTTGGGGAGCTAATGTTGAGTATACAGTAGAGTCAAACAATTTAGGGAATAAAGAGAACTTGGTGATGGCTCTATAATTCGAAGCCTCTGACTTGTTTCCACTTTTAATACTGTTGTAATATATGACTCCTTCCAACCCTCAGGAAATCTACTGCTATTTAAAGATTGACGGAACACCCTACACAAGACGTATGATAAAATATACACCGAATTCTCTAAAAATCCTACCGCGACATCATCAGGGCCTGCACCTAACGTATTCATTATTGCATTAAAAACATCAATCCCATTTATATCACAAACTCCTATGTTAACTTCATTAGGAATAACAAAATTATAACTATCACAGTTTCTATCACTGTAAACAGAGGAAAAAAAATCGGTAAAGAAATTTACAGTATCTGTCTATGCTGTTCCACCATTATAGGACATATTTGCTGGCACTTCAAATGACTTATTCTTTTGGTGTACAAATTTCCGAAAAGCTTTATTGTCATCTATTATTGAGTCTTCTACTGAGGAGATGTAATCGCTATAGCAGTTATTTGTTAACTCTTTACATGCTGCTCTCAGCTGAGCAAACACACTATAGTTTGCTTCTGTATTTGAAATTTTATATTTCAGAGTACCAGCAGGGTAACTTAGGCTCAACCAATCCTACTCAAAAAACGAATTGTTCAATTGCGGACTTTATAATATCCCCGAAAACATAAAAATTTAAATCCACATTTTCAGCATTAAGTAGTTGATCCCATTCAAATGAGCCCAGATATTCATTTATTGCCGTGTAGTTGGCCAATTTAAAGTTAAAATACTCATTGTTGTAGTCAATGGTGTCAACATAGACCACACCTATTTCTAGTGTTAATGATAGGGCTGGGTGATACAAAACACAAGGCAAGATAGGCTCATTTACCAGCTCCACAAGGGCTTCTGGTAAGTTACTAAAAAATAAAATCCAAATAATTATCTTGAGCGTTTGGTATCCTATTTACCTGTTGTAAGTTCAGAAAGGATGAATGCTCTTATAAAGTTTTCGCCTGTTGGGATAAACTACCTACTGCCTGTGATCCATACTCGTCATTAATCCAGTGCACATTTGGTAAGTTGAAATCTCCACTCATGATAATATTAGTACATTGGTGTTCTTTGATCATGGATTCCACACATAGGTACACAGTAAGTGTCATACACTTCTACAGATGACTGCGGTGGTAAATAGACAGCTCCCAAAAGCGTCGTAACCTTTCCCACCGTGATTAAAACAAATATAAGTTCATATCCAGTAATGTACTTGCAATTCACTTAGACGCTATAGAGTACTCTATGGCAATCATAACACCCCCTCCATGTTCACTAATAGTAGTTTGTGATGATCTATCACAGCGATAAATTACGAATCTTTCATGCCTAGTTCAGCATCAGAAGATCCATCGTGCAACCAGCTTTCTGAGCTTTCAGTAAAAATCGTTACACTTAATTCTCTCAGCTCAGTCGAAGTGTTTATTTCTTTTAACTTTGTGCGCAGGCCTCTGACATTCTGATAATATAACATTATAGGTGCTGATCCATTCATAGTCCGTTTAAAGAGTTTTGATTTTTGAAATCATTAGTGCGGCCCCCTTGTATTCTGGTCACTACTCCTCAATTACCGTAGCGACCCACTGATCCATTTGTTGCTCCCTCATTAAAATGATGATTAGCATTTCGGTTCTGATTAAATCCATTATGATTGTAATTGTATCCATTATGATGGTAATTGTAATCTTGCCGATAATCATTTCTGTTCACATAAGATGTCTGGGTTGTTCTGACTGTTCTTTTGAGGTGAAAACGTCCAAAAATAATGTGGGATTGCCAAAAACTTGCATCATTCAAAGCATTATAGTAACTGCTTTCTATGCCAATTGAAACGACTTGGTGCTCCCTATAGAGTTCAACTGTCTAACTTCTAAGTGTTTTGCATCAGTAATTTCTATCTTCTGTGTAATATAGTTTCTAACTGATGTGTACACGGCTCAGATACATCCACATTTTACCAGTTTCGCCACATAAATCATCCTGTGCATCACTCCCTGTTCCCTTGGTGATGGTAACCTTGTTTAAATGGAACTTTTGGAAAGAATTTAGAACTGGAAACTTTTAGAATACCTATGTTATAGTATTTTTATTTTGACTTGAAACACTGCATTATACGAGGATATTTCAACATCATGTCGCTATCTTCTATTAATTTCATAGAAAATCTTTTGTTTCCCTGATGTACAAAATATAAGCAGCAACGAAATATCCCTACAGTAGCCCAGAATACTAGTTTAAGTCGACACCCGCCTAATATAGGTTGAGTTATTGGGGTGGGCTATTTACGTCGCCCCGGGAAGGAGGCCGGTGCCTGTCACGTGCGTTTTTATCTGTCAGATTGCATACCTGACAGTTTATCAGAAGGTGAATAAAAGGGCCCCTCAAAGAAATAAAAATTATGTGATGCCCTTTTATTTGTTTGATGTATGCCGACTAGATGTTTTTTTAGTGTTTCAAGTCTGACTAAAAATACTATAACAATCATCACATAACACTTTAGAACTAATTGAAAACTTCCATGAAATTATTACAACAGAACAATCTCAAACAATCTAAATCACTTATTTAGAATTAAAAGTAGAACTACCAAAAAGCGCTTCAAAATATTTGGGAGATTTTTGATAATTTCTAGAGCATTTCGGCGCATCACGAATATTAAGCAACTAATTGAAAACTTTAGAAATCATTTTGAAAAGCTTCAGAATGCGCTTGTGCCAATTTGGAACATTTTTAAGCATTTTGAAACACTCTAGAGCACTTCAGAATAAATTTAGAACTTTGATAAGCTTCAAAAGACTTTCAATTCAATTTTTCTCTTCTGTATTTGTTTGAGACAAAGTGGAACTTTAAAGAATATTGTAAAACGCTACAAAACACTTTTGAATCAAATTAGAATTTCAGAAACATTCTAGAATGGACCAGAACACTTCCCAACTTTTAGGAACATTTAAGAAAGCTTAAGATACTTTAAAGTTTAAGTTTAGATCCAAGTTAAAATTTCCAGGAGTTTGGAACGTTCTAGAACATTACAAATCATACAAAATTTTTGGCAACAATCTAAAACTGGAAACTTTCAGAATATCTTGAAAATTGTTACAGGACACTTTAGAACTAACTTAAAACTTCCATAAACATATTAGAACACTCCAAAGCGCTTAAATACCCATAAAAAATCCATCCAAACATCAAAGTAGAAAAAATTGTTTGCTAACCCTGTTCTTATGTATAATAAATTTTAAGTCTATGGCTGACCATGTTTCTAGCCAGTTGATTAAATTTAAGTCTTGGTTCTGTGGACTTACTTAGTTTATAATCTCAGCACAACACCTGTGTTAAATCACTTAGGTGCTTGTTCCTCTAGAGTGTAGTGAATAAATAAATAAATACAGGGTGGTCCATCAAAAACAGTTCAGCAAGGTTTACGGCTTTGAAAGTAAAAAAACAACCCTCGTACCCATAAACTTTTATTTTCAAAGGGATACGTTTCACTATTAATTTCATCCCTGCAACCTCAATTCCCTAGCGGAGGCGGCTACTGCCCTTATTTTTTCAAATGGAAAGGGGTATGTTGTGATACATCTTTTTAAAGGGTATTAAATTCTCTTTAAAATACCGCTTCGTTTTTTAAATTTGAGCTACTTTGTCTTTTGTTTGTGAACGTAATTTTGCATTTTAAAATAATTATTACCAGTAATGAGTCGATTGTAAAATTTTTGTCACATGGGTAGTTAATTGTGTGATTCTTGTAGGTAATGCACTACCAAAATCAATGCGCCATTTCGCAAAAGACCTCTACCCCGATGATCAAAAAACAGCCACCCAGAACAAACCTAGAGACTTTTGTGAAGTAGTTCACATCGGCGTGGTTTGTTCCGGCTTTACTTCAAACGTTTATTTTCACGTGCTATTAAAAAGTCTACTAATGTCCAGGGCCAATCCTATACATTTTCACCTTTTAGTTAGTGATGAGTCAGATACAGTACTCAGATGGTTGTTCAAAACGTGGCAGCTACCTCAAGGTAAAAACCAGATTCTATACCAACTGTTTTCTAATTTATAATATGTATTTTTTTTCAGTAAACATAACGTTTTATAATATGAACCTCTGGTTGAAAGATGTCCGTTGGGTACCAAATGGGCATTATTCAGGAAATTATGGATTACTCAAATTAATATTTAATAGAATTGTTCCTTCAAATGTGACTACCAAGCTTTTAATTCTTGATACTGATCTTCTTGTAAATGATGATATTTTTAATTTGTGGAAACATTTTGATAATTTTAACTACAAACAAGTGAGTAATTATACCAATAATTATTCAATTGATTATTTTGTGTTTAATATAGGTAATAGGAATTGGAGAAAATCAAAGTCCTTATTATTTAGGGCAGTCAAACAAAGCAAATCCCTGGCCAGCTATAGGAACTGGGTAAGCTTGTAATAATTGCCAATGAATAAGGCAAATAACTAAAATTTTTAGTTTTAATTCTGGAGTAATGCTTTATAACTTGGAAAGGCTAAATTCCATGAATTGGGACGCAGTTTGGGTGAATTTGACCAAACGATTCACTCTTATTTATGGACAAGTAAAGTAAGTAATTGCAACTGCAATTGAGTCATATATCAAATAAAGCATGAATTACAGTTTAGGAGATCAAGATATTATAAATTCTGCAATAATGGAAAATCCAGACATCCTTTACCAACTACCATGCTACTGGAACACTCAAATGAGCGGTCAATCTACTAGTAGTAATTGTTACAGTAAATATAAACCAAAAGTAATCATTAGTTGGAAAAAAATTGTAAAGAAATTATCATTAGGCGCTTTCAGATAGTACATTGGAATTCACCTCAAAAATATTCGGTGGCCACAAAAGATGGTGATATGTTCAGAGGTTTTGCCAATTCATTTTTTGAATTAAACGGTGACTGGTTTAGGAGTTATCCTCGATTATGTGACAATGGCAATCAAATTCCAAATGTAATAATGTATAATTCTTGGTCACAATTTGCATGCATTGATTTTATTTTTTCTCCAGATTTATGATTCCACAGAAGACTGTGCCACTTTCACTAAACCTCCAGGATTATTCTATCGCACTCACCTATTTTTCCTCGAATATAAATTTATTGCGGACGAATGGGATATTTCCTATGTAACGCATTTATCCTATGACAGAGCTCATCGCATGGAAAGTATTGCTAAAATATGGACTGGACCTATTAGCTTTACTTTGTACGTAAGCGATGCGGAATGGACAAATATTATTCGAATTATTACAGATTCGGAAGTGTTGAGTAGTCGTACAGATATTGCCTATCACGCTGTGTTTAAACAAGGAGTGAGTTTATTATTTGTGAATTCTGTGATATTTTTTTACCTAATAAATATTCTTTTATAGAAATTTTATCCAATAAACACACTTAGAAATACAGGCCTAAATCATATTAAAACACCTTACTCATTTTTGATAGACATTGATTTTACACCTATGAGGTCACTGTTTGAAATTTTAAAAGAAAATATTAAAAGTATTGGAGACCTTAAAAAAAAGGTGGGTATATTAAGAAAATGTAAATGTTTTCCTTTTCTAACTTTTTTCCATTAGGCTTTGATTGTGCCGGCCTTTGAAGCAAAAGAACCCAATATAGGGCTACCAAAAAGCAAAATTGAATTATTGAAATTGGTAGCAAAAAATGAAATCAAGCCATTTTTAGCTGACACTTGGTCTGTTGGACATGCGCCCACTAATTATGAAAAATGGAAAACTGAATACCAACCATATCAAGTATGAACCAAAAACTGTAGATACAATAATTATTATTAATATGATTTCTTCTAGGTGAAATGGCAGCCGCACTATGAACCCTACATAGTAGTAAAAAGTAATGTGGTTCAATATGACGAAAGATTTTTGGGATTTGGTTGGAACAAAGTTTCGCACATAATGGAACTGGAAGCGCAAAATTACGAATTCATCGTGCTCTCGGATGTTTTCATTTTGCATGAAACCCATGCAATGAGTAATGATAATTTGAATTATAAACGGATGCCTCTTTATAGAAAGTAAGAATTATCTTTTGTTTAATGTTTCCAGTTTCTAATACATATATATTTTTAGATGTATTCAAACTCTAAAAAGAAGACTTGTCCAAGGCCTATCGAAAAAATACAACAAAACCTTCACCGACATAAATTTTTTTGATGAATACAAAAGGAAAAGAAGAAAACGCAATTTAGCTGGAGAATCTACAACAACCTTGTATGACAGCACCGATTATTTTCTAGCTTGGGGTGGCAAGGAAAAGGCGGAACGCAAAAAAGAACCAAGAAAAAGAATCACAAACACAAATTCTTCCAATAATAAAGAAGTAAGTTCTAATTCCAAAGAAAGTGACAAATCAGTTGCTGTAGAATATGATTATTATTACTACGATAGCATACATCCTTATAATTTGACAATTTTGAAACGAAACGAAACAAAACATAAATTTCAAAGGAAAATAAATAATTTGACTTTAAGCAGCGAAGAACATGATTATGAATATGACGACGATGATGTTAAATTCAGAGATTTACATGATAGTACTACATCGGCAGGTTTCAATGATAGTTTTACAATTTTTGTGGATGAAATTGAAGAGAAACTTTCTTGAGAAGGGACGAGATTGGAAAAATTTAAACTGGAACAAAATACAAAAGTATTTAGTGCAAGGAGCACGATTATAGAAGATTTGAAATATTAGGAATAATATAGTAGTACCTACTACTACAAGCGCCAAAAATTGAACAAATAATCGACTATTCGATCAACTTTATTGTATTATGATTTTTCTTTTGTTGGAAAGTGGTAGAGCTTTCTCATTATTCTGGCAATTCCTGTCATTATTGTCCTTTAAGTTTTTTCATTTGTAGTTTAAGAATCTCTATATTTGAATGTTAATGATTTTGGTTGAAAACTCTTTCAATTTACCTAATGCATCAAAATTCTAGAACAACATTAAATCCAATAACAATAATTGTTTATTTCTTATTTGTTAGTTATTAAAAATACTATATTTTTTTTTTAGGCTGTAAGACCAAAAATGTATTATTTTAGATTATTGTTTGTTGACATTAAATTAGATAAAAAATTTATAACTCACACATTCTTGTATTTTCTTTCACAATAAAATCCTATACTTATTACACAGCTTATGTAGCAAATCAGGGTAATGTATTACATAAAAAAATCAACAAGAATACACCAATCAAAGTCATCCAAATTTACACACCAGCAACCAACCAAGGGGTAGAGGAACTTTTTGAAGAAATAACACAGTTTGCACGAGAACAAAACGAAGTACGCACTAACTAAATATGGGAAATCTAAATGCAAAAATAGGCCAAGATGACACTAACTCATTTATTAAGCTTGTCTACCAGTACCGAGTGCGCCAGTTATGTATTTTAAATTAAAAATACTGTTTTTGAAAATCAATTTTTTTTTCGAAAATTATAATAGTGTTCTAGCCTAAAGCTTAGTTAAATGAGGAATAACTTTTAAAGCACGAATACAAATATTTATAAACTCTGGTTTGTTGAGTCTGCTTCTAGGTAATTGTAATGACCCGGGAAAAATAGACCTGTAATTTACAATGTCTTAAAAAAATGCAACAAACAGTTAATTTGAATGTAATCGAATAATCAAAAATTGAAAATGAAACAAATTAGCATTGACCCAAATTAATCAAAATAACTATAAAATATGTTCAATTTTTAATAGCCAGTCATCAGGCGTGTGTCATCAAGTTAGTTGAACTCATAAATCAAAACTCGGAAAAGATTAAATACAAGGTTGGGTACCTTATCAATTTAGGTCCCAAAATGACAGAAATTTCAAAAGATCGTTTAATTTATTGCCGGCGCGAGTGTGGCGTTTCTTTGAATTAGGTGTCCTCTACATTCTTTCCCATTTCGTTGACCCCTAATAATCATACAATTTCGACACAGATTTCCACATCATCCGATGAGCAAGTTATATTTTTTTTGGAATAATATCTAGGTCGACCAATAGAATTGGATTGACAGATGGTCAACGACCGCCCATATTGTCGATTGTGGCGGGTAAATAATAGTAGGTATAAAAGGGGCGAGTCTTAAGTCAGTCGACAGTTCAGATCAGTACAGCTTTAGAGTCTTGAGTCTACAGTGGGATTAATGAGTCAGTCCGGATAAAATTCGCGAAGGGTTTCTTTTATTTTGTTGCCTCGGGAAAACGCGTTAAATCGAATCTTTGAAAAAGTAACGGAAAATTATGTGAAAGAAAGAACATTTAAATTCGTTAACATTATGTGCGAGCTCTAAATAATCAAAAGAATAATAATTAGTGTAATAACAAGGTATAGGTAACTCACAAAAAGACGAGCTTGGTTACTTAGAAAATTATTTTATTAATTAAATCTATTCAACGTTTCACCTTGAGACAAATTTATAATTTTAATTTTAATTTATAAATATATATTTATATTTAAGTGATTTAAAACGGATTCTAATTTATTATAGCGGCATCTTTGAAAACGAACACCTGCAAATTTTCGGCTTTTTTAAAGTCACTAAGAAAAGAGTCTCTGGGCTGTGGCCGCAGAAATGGCGCAAAAATCGCGTATAAAAAGGGGATGTCCATGCCGTTTAAAAGACAGTAAGAAAAAGTCACTAAGTCAGTAAGACAGAATAACGATCCAAAGTTGAGTTGAAACTGTTGGAAGTCGAGTAATAAGTCAGTTTTCCGAAAATGTAGTAAACAGTAAATTTCGGTCTAACTCTAAACAAAGTTACGATAATAGGAAATTCTTGAATTGGAGTGAGAAAATTCTTAAATTGTGAAAACCAGTGAAGTATAGATATCAGAAATAGAACATTCGAATTCGGGATCGAAAGTAAAAGTTAATTACGCGTCGCGCCGACAAGTAAAGACACTCTATAGAAAGAAAATTGAACGTTGTAAGACTATTTATTTATTTGATTTATTTATTTATTTGATACAATAGTAATAATACATTTCAAAGTATTTAATAATGTCAGCTAGATACACGATGAATTTGAAATTTGTGTGTGTCTCTAACCAACATTAAAACGATTTTACAAAATCTATTTATCATTAAACAGGTACACTATCCTATACTATTTACAGATATGGAATAAAAATGCATATGCTATTAGTACATACCTAATTACAAATAGCAAAATCCTAAGAAAACCACACTATGTTTTTAGATATCGCTTCATAGTTAACTAAGATCCATTTTTTTAATGCGCTTCTGGTTTTTTTATTAAAATATTCATTCCTAAGGTTGATGGGCAGAAGATTTAATAGCCTTGGCCCAGTGAATAAAATACTTCTCTGTGTGAAAGAGAAGTGTTGCAGACTAGTTGTATATTTTTGATTTGTCACAGCTCTAGTTTGTACTACATGGTTAACTAGGTTTGTAAATATTTTAAATTTCAATGAACATTGTATAACCCTGTTACAGTATAATTGCCTTATATTTAACATTCCGCTTTCCGAAAATATCAGTTTTGTGGGATATGTTTTTGATTTAAATAACATAATCTTTAAAATGTATTTTTGAGCAATATTTAAAGGTAGCAAGACTGACTCACAAGCTGATCCCCACGAGAGAATACCAAAATTCAAAATTGATTCTGCTAATGCTAAGTATACCATTTTTGTTAGTTCTAAAGATAGTATATTTCTAAGCTGCGCAAACTTATATACTAATTTCCTAACCTTTTTACTTATGTAATCTATATGCACATCCCATTTCATAAACCTATCAAAATATACTCCAAGGTACTTAATAGAATTACATGATTCAATTTTTAGGTTACATTTGCATGATACAGATAAGTCGCAGTCAGAATTATGTAGGCTTAAAAAATATCTATAGGGCACATTACGCTTGTCTATAGAAAACGGAATAAATTTAGTTTTATCTATATTCAATGTCAACTGGTTCGAATCTAACCAATGTTTTATTTTGTGAAGATCCAATTCCGCTTTTCCATAAGCCTCGTCCCATGAGCTACCAGAAATTAATATAGCAGTGTCGTCTGCAAAACAAACGATTTTACCCGAAACTTTCAAAGACAGTAGGCTATTTACGTATATTGAAAACAGAATTGGACCCAGCACAGTACCTTGAGGCACACCAATAGCAACTTCCTGAGGATCACTGTATACGTCATTTATTTTAACTTTTTGAACTCTGCCTTCTAGATATGATTTAAACAGGTTGTACACTAAACCTCTTATGCCAATGCTTTCGAGGCGCTTTAAAAGAACTGGGTGCGCAACTGTGTCAAAGGCTTTTCTAAGGTCTAAAAAGACAACGATTGGCTTACAACCTTTATTTATAGTTTTTGTAATAAACTGATTAACCTCGTGCAATGCATTGTCCGTCCCAACTCCTGGTTTAAACCCAAACTGATACGGAGAAATGGTATCATTTTCTTTTAAAAAATTCCATAGTTTTTCTTTAATACATTTTTCCACAATTTTGCTAAATACACTGCACAGGGCTATTGGCCTATAGTTGTTTTTATCAGTCTTGTCGCCTGATTTATGAATAGGTATAATTATGGATTTTTTTAAATATTTTTGGATAACAACCTGTACTGAATATGAAATTAATGAGATGTAGCAAAGGTTTGGTGAGGTAAGCATGATAGTTTTTTATTATTTTAGAAGTAATACCATCATCTCCGCAAGAATTTGTATTATTTAACGAGCTTATGACATTTATTAGTTCTGATTCACTAACTGGTCTCAAAAACATAGAATGATGACAAATAGTCTCATATTTTTGTTCGGTTGGTATAATTTGTTGTGCAAGTTTTGCGCCAATAGAGCTGAAAAAGGAGTTAAATTCATTGGCAATCTCTCCAGCGGCAGAGACAGCCTGGCCACTGTCGTTTTTAATGCACTTAACACTAGATAAATCACGGTACTCATTAGAGGCTTCCTGAATAGTATCCCATATTTTTTCAGGATTTTTATAATTTTCATGAATTTTTGTACGATAATAATTAAATTTTACATTTTTGATGATTTTGGACAGCTTATCTCTATACTCGGTATAGATTCCAATGGTGTTAGGATTATTATTTGATCTTGCTACAGCTCTTTTTAGTTGGTTTCTATGACGTATACAGCTAACCAGCCCAGGAGTTATCCATGGCTTTAAACATCGGTTTTTATTGCTAATTTGTACTTTTTCCGTGCATTGACTTACTAGAGATTTTAGTTTATTAATCAGTTTTTCAGCAATGACATCTGGATGACTTTCGTTTAGAAGATCATACCACGTTTCGTCCTTAAAGAAATTTAGCAGCCGCTGTTTATTTAATTTGTCAAAGGTTTTTGTCGGTTTAGATTCATCCCTTGTAGCATTTACTTTTATACTTAAAATAATCGGCAAGTGATCTGTTATATCGCTATCTAGAACTGCGGCATTGCAATCATCAAGGCCCTTAACAAAAAAATGGTCTAGACAAGATTTATTTCTAGTAGGGACGTTAATAAACGGGAAATATCCTAGACTTGATAAACTATTTAAGAAATTTGCTACATTCTCCTTGATTTTATCTAATATATTTATATTGGTATCGCCAGAAAAAATTTCGGTGGCGCATGGCATAAAATATCTTTGGGTAAGCAACTGCACGAGAATGTCAGGATACATTTTTTCGTCTAGACAAGGAAGTCTATAGTGTGCTAAAATACCAATTTTATAATTGTTTTTACAAGCCTCTATTCTCAAAAATTTGTAGTTATTTATACATATTGTTTTATTTTGTAGTACAAGATTGCTTTTGACATAAATGATAGTACCATCACACCAATTAATAGTACTGTTATTATAAAAAACAGAGTATGACTTTATACTTATTAAAATCATCAACATTTTCGATTTCGTGTGATTCTGACATTATAATGATATCAAAATCAACATCTAAAGAGCTAAGTAATAGTAGAAAATTATCGAAATTAGTTTTAATACCCCTGATATTAACGTGTATTATATTAAAATTATTATCGCCGGTCATTATTACTTCTTGAACATCACTTATAG